TATATATATATTGTATTATATCATATTAAAATAAAAGGAATCCAATAAAAAATTGAGCCAAAGGTTTTTCCGCACAAAATAATTGCATATGGATTGGCTACGGACAGAACAGTCATGTCGGCCCCACTGACGCAGCAATACATTTTTTTGGGAATACGCAGTGATACGTACAGAGATATTTCTCAGAACGGAGAGAGAAAGAGACACAGAGCCAGATTATGTGTGCAGCCGAGATAGGGTGAGGCGGAAGTGGCGAGAGAGAGAAGGAGACTGACTACACCACTTGATTTCCCCGCCGGCGGAGCAAAGCTTCTCCCGACTTCCGACCTTTACATCAAAGAGGAATGCAGGATTTTCAATCAATCATGGGGCAGACCACTGATCGGATCTTCGGCGGCGTTACTGACGGAACCGCCGGCGGATGGGATAACCGGCGGCTCATAACCTGTCCATCCGCCACCACGGCGGCAAGCTCCCATCATCCACCACCCCCATTGAAATGCCCCAGGTGTGACTCGCAGAACACCAAATTCTGCTATTACAACAACTATAATCTGTCACAACCCCGTCACTTCTGCAAGTCCTGCCGGCGCTACTGGACCAAAGGCGGCGTCCTTCGCAACGTTCCCGTCGGCGGTGGCTGCCGGAAGCCCAAACGCTCTTCTAATTCCAAATCCCATCGATCCTCTGCCAGCCGTTCAAGCAGCGACAGTTCCGGCCGAAATCCACCTGCTCCTCCCGATTCTGAAAATTTTCCCAAATCCTCTTCCTCCAACCCCAATCCTCCTAATCCTAGTAGCTTCGATCAGCCTTTCACGGTTTCGCAGAATGGAGCGGTGGACATCTTCCCCGATGGAGCGGGAACCTTTTCGAATCTTACGGCGGCTACTGCAAATCAATCTATTCATGGATTCAACTTCATCGATTCACAGCTGCTGCGTGTTCCAGATCCCCGTCAAAGGGTAGAGGAGATACCGACGCAGGATATCATTCATCAGGTGGCAACAAGTAGGGGGGATAATAGCGCGATTGAGTGGCCGCCGGCGATGGATACAGGTATCTATGACCTCGCCGGCGCCACCGATCCGGTGACCTATTGGAGCCAAAGCCACTGGATCGACGGTGAATCCTCGCTCTATCTTCCCTGATTTTCGTTTTTGTTTTTTTTCCATTGTGGAGAAATGATACCTACTTAGTCTGTCGATTTACGGTGTGTTTTTCCAGGTAAAAAAAATGTGTGAAATTTGTCCATAAATATTTACTGTCTCATTCTTATTAAAAACTCGATATGGTATTGTGTCACATTTCTTGTCCATTTGGTAGTCAGGGTCACTGTAAGTCCCCTCTGACAAGAGTTCGATTCCTATCGTGGTGCATGAGGGGTTGAATTATAGGCACATGGCGCGGGCTCCCATGATGGGGCTAGATTGAGCGTGAAAAAACGTTATTTGGACCTCTGCCAAATATCGATTTCGTTTATGTGATCTAAAAAAATATATATTATGGGATAAATATCTCCATTTATTTGTTTATTTTGATAAATATATTCAAAATCTTATTTGTAAAACATATTTGGATTTTTTTTTTAAATAAAAATATAAGAGGAATTTGAGATAAAATTAATTTTCTAAAATTTAATTGGTTAGTGTGTTAGTGACAGCAACACGGCGGACTTAAAAAATCAACTTAAATCTCACAAGAATATTATTTATTTATTTATTTATTAACAATCATATATATATATATATATAAGGGCCATATATATAGCATTTACATCTATATCACCCCATTCCTAATACCTAGCTAATACCTATAGTTTAGGTATTAGGGGGCATTTATATGCATAACACACAAGTCTTTTGTATTTACATACATTACACACAAAAAAATTCATATTTACACATATATCACTCAAATCTTTAATAGCACGTAAAAAATAATGTTATTATTACTTTTTAAACGTGAAATATTTTTTTTCTTGCACGAGATTAAAACACCAAGAAACTACATATGTAAATATAAAAGTTTGTGCGTGAGATATGTAAATATATAATAATTGTGTGCTACATATCTAAGGGTGTAAATGAGTTGAGTCGAGCTCGAGCCACCCTTAATGTTTTTTTTTATATTTTTTTAAATAATTTGAAGATAAATCATGCAAATTTAATAATTTTTTTTTTAAGATTAATATGTTCTTAAACGAGCTGGTCACAAGTTAACGAGTCGAGTCTGCACTAGCTTGTTAGCATTGAACTTAGTTCACGAGCCGAGCTCCAGTCGGCTTGATTTAGTTACACCCCTATAATTATCTAATTCCATATTTATTATATTTATACCACCCAAATCTTTCTCATAATATTTTAACCTTTAAAAATTTGTTAAATATGTAAATACAAATAAGAATTAAATAGTGACTTTTCTTTCTTCTTTTTTTTGGGTGAGGATGAAATAACTCTATATTTTAATATTCTTCATATTTTGAGTCGATGTCCTCTTAAATTCTAATATTTATGAAACTATATTCATCCGCCAGTTATGTTGTCGCTAAATAATAATTACATCAGGACTCCGCATGTAAACTTTTATTAGAGATACAAAAAAAGGAATATTCTCCCATGTTATTCCGTGTTATTCAGATGTTATTGTATGTTATTCAAGTGTTATTGTATTTTGAGAATATTTTTAATATTATAATAACATAATAACATATCAATAACAATTAAATAACATATAATAACACTTGAATAATACGAAGTAATATTTATGACAAACACGTGAAGTGATTTGAACATGGGGAGTTCTTATAGAAAATTTTCTCTGTAAAGAGTCGGCAAAAACGTCGCTGTCGAGGAGGTGGGGAAGGGAGGACGACAGTTTGCACTGTCAGCGGGAAGACAAGGCGTTGTCGTGATGGAATCGCAACGGCCACCGCCCCATGCGCGGTACTGTGCTCCCCCTCACCTTCCGTCATAACGTTGATCCGTGAGAGAGACGAGGCCGCGTGGCATTCCGTCACTCGGTGCTCCCACCGGTGTTCTTCGAACGCGGCTCCACAGCGGATGCTCTGAAGATGGGTCCCGGAGGAGTTTTGGATGGCAGCGTGGGCGCCTGTGGACCGCACTACGGGATGTGGGATCAGGTTACGGTTCTGTAAGCTGTACCCATCGCGCATCATCCATATTCCCCGCCTCTCTGTTATTTATCGATTAAAAAAAACAAGGTAATTTCATATTGACCATTCAAAACATAAATATTTACAGATTAATCGTGTAAGTAATTTATTGTAAACAACAGAAACCAGATATAGATCAAACTATTAAAAGATTTGATAAAAATGAAGAATATGAGTACGGCTGTCAAAACGGCTCGTTGTTCGCGAACAGCTCGTGCTTGGCACGTTAAGAAGCTCGTGTTTGGCTCGTTTCGGCTCGTTTTGACTTGAAATACTGCTAATCAATTATATATATATTTTTTTATGAGTAGTATTTTTAAAAAAATTAATTGACTACAAGACTACAAAGATTTATAATCAATTAAAAGTATTATGAAGAAAATAGAATAAAAATTATTAATTTAGATTCAATTGATGTTTTAAATCTTGCCTCAATCATTAACATCTTATGACTATGTTATTAGGGTTGTCAAAATGACTCTTTGTTCGTGAACAGCTCGTGTTTGGCTGGCTAAGCAAACGAGCCGAACACGAACACACGAGACGAACCCGAGCTGAGCCTGGGCTCGCTCGTGTTCGGCTCATTTACACCCCTAAATAAGAGTTAGGATTTTATCATGAATTTTGATATTCGAGTGAGAATTTGAAAAATAAATGGAGACGGGTGGTTGATTTTGTAAATAACAAGTTTCTATTGGTATGTATGTGATTGCCCTTTAAAAAATTGGGAGCATTAGGAGTCTCGCAACTGTCTGACTATTGATGTTGTGATTTGGTATAATTGTATGGATGATGTTAATAAGTGTTGTATGATAAGACCGCACGACCTTAAGAAATTAAAATAATGTTTGCACAGAGTCATGTACGATATTTTTTAAGCAAATACTGTCACTTTTTTTGTGATGTACGCTTTTCCCACGAGGTTTTGCTAAACAGCTTGTGTTTGGCTTGTTCGTCAAATTAACGAGCCGAATACGAACAAAAAATTTTAAAAACGACTCGTTTCGGCTCGAAATACTACTCGTGTTGGTGTTCGGCTCGTGTTCGGCTCGAAATTGGCTCGTTAAATTAAAATTGAGAAAAATAGATGTAAAGTATGAGATTCGAACCTGGATCAAATATATATAAAAGAAGACACTAACCACATTGTCACATGAGGTGTTATGATTTAAACTTAGACATAAATATATATAATATATTATTATATAAATAATATATGTAATATATTGTTATATAAAAAGTTATATAATTTTTTTTTCGAGTCATTTCGAGCCGAACACGAGCGAACAAACTATTGTTCGTGTTCGGCTCGTTTACATTTCGAGCTTAAAAATTGTTTGTGTTCGGCTCGTTAGACTTAACAAACGAGCCGAACACGAGCTGTTCATGAACAACGAGCCAAATTGACAGCCCTAGAATTGAGTGCCTAGGGGTGTAAACGAGCTGAACACAAGCGAGCTCGTTTCAGCTCGTGTTCGACTTGTTAAAAAATATAAATTTTGTGGTCAGCTCGTTTATATTTTGAACGCAAAAAGTGTGTACGTGTTCGGCTCATTGCTTAGAGAGCCGAACACAAGCTTTTCGCGAACAAAGAGTCATTTTGACAACCCTATTCACGCAATCGTTGGATGTTTAGGGTTGGGGCAAGATTTAAATCTTATTGTTTATATTAAAATATTATTTAAATATAATTTAATATATTGTTATTTGATTTTCTTAATTAATAGTTTTAATTGATTATAAATCTTTGTAGCTTTGTAGTCAACAATTTTTTTTTTTTAAATACTACTCACCATATATATATGTTTCCCGTGTACCCCAGTCTGCTGGTTGGCATCCATGATATAAGACCCCTCAAGTCGGAGGTTCGAATCCCCTCGGGCACAGTTGACCTTAACGAGTTGGTACTCGAAAGTTGGTACTCGAATTGTTAAGTAATTGGTATTAGAGCTATTACACTAATTTAATACCGATCATTTCTTTTTGTTTAAAAGATACATTTAATGTTTATTACTAATTAATGCATATGATTCTCTTAAATGTAATATAAATTGAGTTAAAATGTGTTTTTGTTTTATATTCTACTTGTAGTATATATAAATTAAAAGAACAGATTGAATGATTTTCATATTTTAATTATGTATTTTTTAATCCAATTTATTTTGAAAAATTACAATATTTTATGAAAAATCAATTTTAAAATGTTAAATTTTATTTTATGGAAATTTAATTACTAGTTCTAAATATTTTAAAATGATGGTATTCTTAAAACTTTTTTTAGGCTTTATAAAACAATTGATAAATTTAGGAGGAAAAAGTATATTTTAATATAGAAATAGGACTATCCATCCACGGGTGTAAACGAGTCAAGTCAAGCTAGTTAGAACCACACTATAATTGAGCTCGACTTGTGGGATATATGGTTGGCTGGAGCTCGACTCGAGCTCTTAACCTAAACTCGAACTCAGCCCAGGACAATTATGTTCGCCTCAAGCTCGGCTCTAAAGCTCAATTTTGAGCTTCATTTTGAAGATTTTGATAAAATTATATCATAGATTTTATGAAATAGTACAAAAATTTATTTATTGTAAGAGCATTGGGATTAATAAGTGAATTAATTAATGATTTGTGTGAAACAGGGATGAAGGCATAACATGAGATAACAGGGATGAAAAGCCAGCTAAGAGATAAAGCTTAGGGAAAAATGCATGGTTCTATTAAGTGAACAGTAAATGACTACATGAGGTATATACAGGTTATAAGAGAAGCTTCTATACGTGCTGTCATAGTCATTATATACAATAATTCAATTGCGTGGAGAATATTGTCAGTGGTGAGGACCATCGGTGTTATAGTGTCTAAAACCCTCATGCACACTGATAGTTTCGGGAATAGTCGTAAGCTTGGTGCGAACATCAGAAAAGATAATATTTTGGTGAGGATGTTCGCTATTTGTTGTCAAGATTGGATGTGCAATAGTTGAATGTTATTGAGTTTGATATGGTCACGAAGAAAATGATGATCAATCTCGATATGTTTGGTCCTTGCATGGAATATAGGATTGTTGGCCAAGGATATCGCGGAGATATTTTCGCAGCAAAGACGTGTTGGCTGAGTTAGAAGAGTGTCA